TGAGCTGCAGCGAGCTGGTGCGCACCAGGTGGATCTACATCGAGCTGACACACAAGAGGAGCTCCAGCGCCTTCGCCCTTCCCGCCGTGGCCAAGGCCCTGACGCAGCTCTTTGAGAGCAGGTACAAGCTGCACCCCAAGTACATCGCTGCCATCAAGTACGAGCCCCCCCTCATCCAAATCCGCCTGGAGCAGAACAAGAAGCCCAGGTGGGATGTAGATATAGCTGACGTGGCCTATTACTTTGAAAAAGATGTGAACAACGACTCAGTGTTCCCATCCAACAGCAAATTAACTGTGTCGGTCAATGGAGATGCTCTGGCCATTGAGAAGCTCGGGATTTACTACGTGGATGAAAAGCCCCCAGAGTTCTCCATGAGGCAGCTGGCAGCCGGCATTGGTGCCGTGGTCACCGTGGTGCTCCTCACTGCTGGCATCGGCCTCGCCGTGCTGCTCGGCCTCAGGTGGCTGCGCACAAGGACATACAAAAAATTCGAGTGTAAAGAAATGAGGGAAATTAAAGCCCCAAGCTCAGAGCTGCCCTGAGCTGAAAGAAGAACGGCAACTACAGGAAGAAAAGGAAACAAAAAGGCACAAAATACAAAGAACAGACTTGGTGTATGTGATGGATTTGGAGTTTTTTCCTTCCTGCGGGAATTTGTACAGTGAATGTTCTAAATTATTCTTGTTTAGTAAGAATAAATTTTTGGGGTAGAAATGAATTTGGGAGTCAGTTACCTAAATATTTTAAATGACTCCTGCTTTGGAGGGTAAGAAAACTGTTACAGCTGTCTATTTAACATAACACAGAAGGCTTTCAGTCCTGCTGCAGGCCTGGCTCAGATTGCTTAAATACTTAAATACTCTGTGGGGTTCTTGGTGTATCTATTTACTGAAATTAAAACAGTTCCCTCAGCATATTTGGGCTACATTGCTGCTTTTCTCATGGTAGACTTTTTTAAAATGCAGTTTGGTTTTAGTTCATGGGGGCTTTGAAAAACAAAAGTTTCTGGAACTTTTTTTATCAGCAAATAATTTCATGAATATTACTAAATAACCACATAAGATAATGCTAAGATACTCTGCAACATCAGAGGCTTTTACAGAATGATTTGTTAGGAAACATCCCAGGTGTTGGGTCGCTTCCAGAGGTGGAGATCCCAAGTTCCTGGGTTTGTATTCAGGCAGCACAGTGAGCTATTCCCACTTGTGCTCTTTAATAAGGGTCTGACACTCCTCGTCAGCAAAGATCTCTTGATCCCCATGCAAGTGTAAGTGAACCTTGGTGTTCTGCCCACATTCCAACTCTGGTAATAACTTTCTGTCTACCTCAATTCCCTTGCAGTTTTAATGGGAGGAGATATTTTTCAGTGTTGTACAGCTTCACAGAAACACTGCACAATGCTCTGGGACAGGCAGAAAAAAGAGCTTTATTCCAACTGAGCTGTGGGGGGAATTTAAGAGCAGAGTGTAATTACTGAACTTGGAATTTGCTCAATACACAACTGGACTGCTTTGCTACCTACTCATCTGCTGCATTCCTGGTTTGGAGAGTCATACCCACCGTGAAGGACATTTTAAAAAAATAATGCTGCTTGTTGAACGTTGGGATATTGTCAGTTCCGTTCTCTGTGCTGCATGTGGATGTCCAAGTCCATCACTCTCTGCTTCCTGCAGCAGCACCTGCTCCACCTGGGCACTGCCACAGGCCCAGCAGCTCTTTTCTTCTTTGCATTAGTTTCAGTGTTGCTCATTTGTAATTCTAACAACAGTCAGGAATGTGCTGCTTCCACAGCAAAGCACCAAAATGCAGCTCTAGCTCTACTGAATGGAAAGGCTATCAGTGAAAAAAGGAAAGAGGCTTTGATTCTGATTCTGCCTTGTTTATAGACACTGTTGGGTAATAACATCTGGTTCAACATGCAGCATTTCCATTTGACCTCACACTTACCTGCTGGAAAATCCTGGTTACATACTTTGGGGCAGATGCATCACGTTTTCCCAAAATAAGATTTGTCTGCAATTGCAGCAGCAACAGCATTAATTCATTCCCAGTTTTGGAGCAGGGTCTATAATTCATTGTGTGCCTTACAGCAACATGTTGAAGCTGGTTGTTTGTCAGTCAGGAATACACACTTGTCTGAGAGACGATGAAGTGATAATTTGAGATTTAGGCTGGATATTTCCATGTCATAGGAAAACTCAGGACTTAGCCTAACTCCACACAATTTCACAAGTAGCCATTTATAATAAAAAATCTAGAGCTGAGCAGCCCTCAGCTGAAGAAACATAGGATGAGAGTCAAAATTTTCCAAGTACACTGCTTAACCAATTTGTTAACTTATGCAGAGCAGATCAAAGCCATGTGTTTGAGAGGCTGGTGCTGTCCCTTGATCAGGGATCACGAGATGTGCAGTCTTTTCTGGACATCTATGGTGGCTTTCACCAGTCTTTTAAAATCCCTGTGTTTTTCTCTTTTCCATCATAGGAAAAAATATTTTTTTCAAGGTGAATAATGATATTTTATATTATTATATAAACATTTGGACATAACATTCAGTAGGAGAGGATAAAGTGACTAATTGTTGAAAAAAATCTTAACAGGTAACAGTGTCAGCATCTTTCCTTGGCTCCTGCTTTTATTTTTAGTAGCTGAGATTGAGAAGAGAGGCTGTGGTGGTGCCATTCAAATTTTTATTATTCATTAAAGGACTGCCCCATGAAAGCCTTGAGTTGTGGTTGGTTGTTTCTTTGCTAAGTCCTTCAGCACAGTGGACTGCACACTGGTCATGCATAGGGTTGGTTAATAGGAGGGATGAGGTATCTGCAGTTAATCAATAAAGTTGGATTAATTGAAGCACAGGGCTCAGAGAACCTCTCCTTGGACTGGATCATTCTACTTGAATAAAACTGTGTAGAGCTACTGTAGTATGTGGAGTTGAATAAACCAAACAGACCCATTGCTCCTGCTGAGTGCTCATTTCTCTCCTGCCACCTCTCACACCAAATCTTTTTTGCACATGGCAGATCTCGTATTTTACTGTAACAGCCCATCACATCCTGCCTGTTTGACTTCTTACCACTCCTGATATTCTCACTGGAAAAGAGACAATGAGCCCCTTTTCAGCTTTAAACTTTGCAAAATGAAAATGCTTTTTACTATTCAGATTTTGTGCTGTTAACTCTAAAATTTCTAGCCATCCATTTCCTGATTACATCATCCTGTTTTAATGGAATGTTTGCTTGTTTTATTTAAGTAATTATTCCCTGTGCTGTCTGCAGTGGGTTCTGGGTTCTGTGGGTGATAGCAGAGAGTGCCTTTGTGCTGCTGCCTATCTGGGTTGTAAAGGGTGTTTGCTTTAACAATGCCAGAGCTGGCTGTTGCCTAAATTACGTTCTGCAGTTCCAACTGGCTGCTTTGGGAAGCTCAAATTAAACACATGCAGAGAAAAAAAATCCCCTCTCTGCACTCCAACTCTGAAGAGGCCAGTGCTGCCCTGTGCACACAGTGCCACTACCCCTGGGCAACTGCACCAACTGAGCTTTGGCCTTTGCTTTCAACTAAAACTTTTGTACCACTCACGATCTGAGCACAGTGCCAGAAGCAATGGCAGCACTACAGCAAGGAAATGAAAGATGAGGATTAAAACCCTCTTAAACTCTGTTCTCTCTACTCCCCCTGGTAAAATCCATGCCTGCTGATATCTCTGAGTATGTGCCCTGGAATCCTCTGACACGAAATGCCCGTGTTGGTTGGTAGGTGTTGCTGTGTGCACACACCTGTGTGCTCCACACCTGCATTAAAAACACACACACATCACTGTCTGTCAGAGAGGGAAGCCCTGGGGAAAACTCCTGGCAGCAGATCCTCCTCTGCCCTCACCACTCTGCACTGGCAAACAGTCCAACCTGCTGCTGCTGTGGAACAGAAAAGAATCCTCTTTTTGTCCCATCTTCCCTCACTTAAGAATTATCTTTTAGGGATGTTTAGAGTGGGATTATGCCAGACGACAATCTTCCCGACTGCCATGTCCCTCTTGAAACACCTCTGGGATGTTATGGACACCTGGAGACAAGATCCCTTCAATGCTTCTTAAAATGTTTAAACCTTGGGGAATCATCCTGGAAAAAACCAAACCAGCCTTTACTGCTCAAATATTGAAACTACTTTTTCAGTGTACAGTTAAAGAAGTAACAGATTGGCCCTTCCTCCACTTCTCCTTAATTGGGCCAGTTAATGCTATTAAACAGATCTTCCTTATACAGGTATAATTATCCTTTCCAAAGCGTTTCCTCTGATTTGCCCCAGGGTTTTAAATACTGCAATTACTTTTTTTTTTTTTTTTGTCAATGCTAAAATTAATCTTTAGTCATTACCATTGCTATCAATGCAGGAAAAACGAGTTTCCAGAATTTTACTAATATTTTTCAGCAGTTCTAAGCAAATCTCCTGTACCAGGCTTCACCTAGTTAAAATTTCATCCATGGCAGGCAGCCTGGCAAGATCCAGATCTCATTTGCATGATGATCCCTGGTCCCTGAGGGATGACACTCCTACAGCCCCACTCCAGCTCCAATCAAGCACCACAGAAACAATTAGGGAGACTTTGCATTATCTAAATGAAAGATTGGATTATGAAAATGTGCACTGCTAATTTTCCACTGAGGTTTTTGCATGTGGGCCCAGCAGTACTGGGGGTAAATGCACCCAGCCTTTTTCAGGTGGTTCTTTTGAGACAAATTTTTCTTTCGAGATAAATTTATCTTTTGAGATAAATGCTTGACCTTGTAAGGCTTGAAGTGAGAAATCTCAGCACTTTTACTGCTCTGGTTGTACCCAGAAAAGCTGCTTGGAACAATTAGAAGGCAATGAAAATAACACTCCTCATTTCCAGCCTCTTCCCTCATGTTTTGGAATTAAATTGGGCATTGAGTTTTATGACAACTTTTAGAGGAACAGTTTTACAGTAAATTTCTGCTTGGTTCAGTAACTTCATTTTCTGGATTTTAAATCTACTTTTTAAAAAACATAACAACAGATAATATGCAACAATAGTTAATACCTATTAAATTCTTAAATAATATCCTCTAACTGGTATCTCAGTGGGGAAGGGGAGGGTAAAGGACAATTAGTGCATAACACAACACAGTGGATCAAGGCAGGATATTCTAGTGCACAACATTTGGAAAAAAATCTTGACATTAATGAAAAGCATTGTCTGATCTTTTAAATGACTGTGAACTCCTGATATTTCAACTGGCCAAACAGACTAAATGGAATTAAATCCAATTTCTGACTCGCAGAAGGTGATGGAGTGCATTTTTTCAGCCAGGATTTTAGCCCAGCATTCATGAACAGAAATGAATTACACTGAAAGTTGAATTACAATCCTATCAATAAATAATTAGTTTTTCCTTGGATTTATATAATACTCAAATATTTTAATATTTTATAATGAGTTTTTTCATTTGAAGCTGAAGACTGTATATTTTAACTGACAACTCTTTAATTGTGATGATCAAAATTGGTACCAGAGAGACTTTAGTACCAAACACTGAAGTATTTGTATACCAAGCACAGAAAATACTTTTTATATTCAGTGTTAAACTACTTTTCATTACTTTTATTAGATTTGGCATTTGTTTTTGTGAGTAGTTTCATACATATACAAAACCTCATTTAATTCAGAACAACTACTTGTATAAAGAGATACTCAAATACTAATGGACACACCCACACAGGAAAATTGTACCTGTTAAGGTGTTAATTGTTTATTTGGACTTAGGAAATCACTTATGACTTCTAAATAGGTCTTCTGCAGTCCTAAAAATTTCAAATTTGTTTTCTGGTCTTCTCCTGAAATGAGAATTATAGTATTTTTTTTGTAGATAAGATGATGCTTGTAAGCAAAAGCTCAGCTACAAAACTGTCTTAATCTACCTCTCTTTACCATAGCATATTCTATTTTATTTCCTCAAGGGAAAAAAAAATTGTATGCACATGTCTTCACTCAAAAATTCAAGGGAAGCAATAATATAAATTACAAGTTAGAATTTTTTTTTCCACTACACATCTATTTAAAGGAAAAAAAAGCCCAAACACTCAACAACTTTCCAATTGCTCAACTGTTTACCAGATTTTCATCTAGGGATATATTTAGTGCTGGTATTTAATAGATCCTATAATTACCTGAGCTGTATTTGCTGCTTGTCTGCTTTGGAGTTTTAATTGCAAGCGATGATGCATGGGGAAACTTTAGAAGTGCAGAATGTAGAGCACAACTTTGAGCCCCATCTTTCCACACTCAAAACATCCATTGATTTTAAGAAGAATTTAGCCAAGGATATAGGAATAGGTCCTACATGCTCTATGTAGAGTTAATGTATTGGAAAAACAACTGCAAAAACAAATATGCAAAGAAAAAACTCCAAACCAATGTGTTTGCAGCAGACTCAATAAAAAGTGGAGACACTGAGGTGGAAAGAATGGTAGAAGCCTGAATGGCTAAGGAATGGAGAATTCTAGATAGAGAAAACAATAAAAGGAAGAAAATACCAGGTGTAGTAAGGCCATTAATGAAAGCTTTCATCTCAGTTCTTCATTTCCTGACAGCTGGGACACACACAAGCCTTGGGTTAGACAAAGTGCTTTTCTGCTGCTACAGCTCAGCTGGTTTTGTGACTGGAACAGACAGTCACAAAAATTAATGCCGTGTTACTGACTGACAGATTTTACTCTTCGTGCTTCTTATGATAATGGAGCCCGGGCAGGTCTTAAAGGAATTGTGTCAGAGGAAATCATAACATTATCACTAAATAAAGTTCCTTCTTGGCCTGGACTGCAACAACAGGTCACTACGTATTTCCCTTGGCAATGACCATCAATGCTTAAGAATTGTCACAGTAGGGCTCTGGAAATACAAAAAAGGTGGAATAAGGAATACCTCAACAAACACTGAACTCAGCTGTGCTCATACACAGAGGATGTGGCTCTGGAAGGCAAAAATTTGTGTTTCTTTACCTTCCACAGGTAAAGACAACAGGGCCTCTGTTTACATTCAAGGCATCAGGGTTTATATGCAGCCTGGGCTGCCCTGGATTACCACACATCCCAGCCTCACCCTCCCTCAGCAAATAACTTGTTTTGTGCATCACATCGCTCAAGATGCATTTGTCAGCCAGAGGAGTAGGACAAGAGCCACACATTAAGTTAGCAGCTTGCTATTTTCTAGGGAAAAACATCACCTCTGTTCCTGCCATGGCAGATCTGACTGCTCCCTGCCTGGGAGTGTCACCAACCCTTCGGCAGCAGGAGCCACTTCTCATTTCAGGTCCCCAAAACCAGAATTGCAGAGTCAATCAGGTTGGAAAAGATCTCTGAAATCGAGTTCAACCTGTGACAGATCCTCACCTTGGGGATCAACCAGCCCAGAGCACTGAGTCCCACATCCAGTCCTTCCTTGAACGCCTCCTTGGGCAGCCCATTCCAATGTTTAGTCACCTTTTCTACGAAGAAATTGATCTTCGTGTCCAACCTGATCTTCTGGCACAACTTGAGGCCATTTTGTCTTGTCCTGACACTTTTTTACTTGGGAGAAGGACTGACCTCCACCTGGCTCCAAAGTGAGAAAATCCCTACTCAGGGCTGCTCTCAGCCATGAGGTTGTTGCCCACAAAATGGGATTTTTACCTGGTGTTCAACAAGGCAATAATTACACACTTGAGACAGTTTTTATTTCAGAGATGCACCCCCTTTCTTGGAGTCCACAAATCAAGCAGGACCATCACACTTTTCCAGCCATTATTTATAGGCAGGAATTCAGAGTCAGTAACTTTCCAAGCACAGCCCTTCTATTATGATTGATTATTAATTTACATACACGTTACTCTGACGAGTTAGCAATGTATACACAGATATACATCAACAACTTCATTTGCTACATCCTTAAACCTTCTCAGTTCCCGGATTGACTAAGGGAAGCTGACTTAGGCTTGAAACATACAAAGATCTTACATCAAAGAACACGCTGATTTAAAATAATCCTGACATATTCCACATTTTGCAGATAAGTGACACGGAAACACCGCGGGCAAAGCCAGCGTTCCGGCGCGCAGGAGAACGGGCTCTGCGCCTGAAGAGGGGCGCCCCTGCTCCCCGCGCTGCCACAAAATGGCGGGCGCCGCCTGAAGGCAGCGGCAGCGGCGGGAGCGGCGGCGGCCCCGCCTGAGGGAAGGGACGCGGGGCCCCGGTGGCCGCTGCAGCGGCGCGGTGCCGTCCCACTTCCCGCTCTCCACCCCGGCTCTGTATCGACACCGGCTCCGCGGTCCGGCCCCTCCGCCGCCGCCTCCCGCGGTGGTGAGTAGGGGAGCCCGGTGGAGGAGGTCGGTCCCTGGGACGCGCAGCTGTGAGGCGGCCGGAGCTGTCCCCCGCCTCCCCGCCCGCCATTACCCGGGCGGGGCCCTCAGAGTGACTCGTCTCCCTCATTCCCCATTCCCAGCTCCTCGCATCAGCCTATGTCACGATAATCGCGGTTACCCCCGAGGGTGGCGGGGCTGGGGGAGAAGCAGAGGCCGCGATCGCAGCCAGAGGGTGAAAGTGGCGGCAGCGGGGCCCCTCAGGCGGGAGGGCCTGGGTCAATTCCGTGCCAAGGCATTTCCATGTCCGTGAGCTAGAGGCTCACGGCTGGCCGAGCCTTGGTTTGGCCGTGTTTTGTTTCTAGGCCAGGAGTAAGTACGAGCAATATGCTCACAGATCACAAAGATCCTGATTTTCCTCATGTATAGGAATGGCACCGGGGCGGCAGGAGCCCCGCGCGGAAAGGTGATGACCCACAAGGGACACCTGCAGTCATTCTGATCTGATGGTAATAAATGTGAAAGGAAAAAAATAAATCGCACCTTGTTTTATTCTCAGTGATGCAAGATACTGATATCTTTCACAGTCGGAAGCAGCTGGATGTTTTACAACTGTAACCGGATGCAGTTGTGACTGTGACCTCCTTTTGTGCAATGCAGATGTTGACAAACTAATACATAGTATCCATTCAGGGGAAAATGAAATACCCTTGCAGAGTTTCTTGTTTGGGTGGACTTCTTAAAACCAGTCTGCTCTTTTTTTTCTCTTTTTTTCAGGGTAACCAACCAAAGAAGTTATGAATATCATCTGTGGTCTGAAGCTGTCGGGCAGAAACTGTATTTTGTCTCATTTGGCTTCTTTGTGCAAGCAGGGGAAGTGCAATAATCTCTCTAGGTCTTACACAGGATGGTGCCGGAGTCAGGGTGCCAGAAACAGATGCCAGAGCTTGGATTTGAGTGGAAATACTAGAAACTGCTTTTTGACTGGAAACCCTGACTCCCATAGAAACTTGATTAGTAAAGGACTGAGGTGTCTTTTGGATGTCCCACATACAAGTGGACAGGAAGTGTACAGGAATGCAAACCATGGTTCGGGAAGGTTTTTCTCCCAGTCTTCTCAGCCACTGGGGGAGAAGATCCCATCCCTCCTGATCAGTTCTGTAGGACAACCCCCACATCACTTTGCTGCTTGGAACTTTCAGATCAACAACAGATCTTTTCACACATCACCGTCACTTCATGCTGCACCAGTTCCTCTTTTCTGGATTATTGTGAAGCCAGCTCAGAAATTATTTGCCATCATTCTTGGCAGGTAAAATACTGTCTTACTTTCCTTTCAGTGCAAGATCCATCATGCAAAGTGTGAGTGTGGGGAGGGATGGCAGGTGTGTTTGTAGTCTTGTTTGACTGACAGTTTGCTCAACAAGAGGTCTTTTTTTCCATTATCTGAGGTGTTAGATGTATTTTTTCCTCTTTTCCTTGTCATTTACATGTGGTGGAGGGAGATGAACCAAAACACTAAGGGGCATTCCTTCTTCTCCTGTGGGAGAGAAGAAATGCAGTGGAGTGGAAGCCAATTAAAGTATAACCCCCCATAAGCTCCTACATGAGATGAGGCTGAAATAGAGAATACAGTAACAAATTCCTTTTCAAATATGTCCTAAGTTAACACTGTTTGTATCTTACAGGAGCATAAGAAATTGGTGGAAGTCACTTCCTCCTAATAAACGGGAACTCTTCAAAGAAAGTGCAAGAAAAAACAAATGGAAGATCCTGCTGGGTGCCAGCAGCTTGGGAGTTGTGTTTATCATGTTTTATTTTACCCACTTGGAGGAGACCCCCATCACCGGGCGTGCTCGACTCTTGGTGTTTGGCAAAGAGCATTTTAGGGAGCTGTCACAGATGGAATATGATATGGTAAGATTTTTGACAAGAAATTGAAAGTGCTCAAAAATTGTTGCTTTTTTAGTGATGAGATAGTCCTGTTAATGAAGTGGGCAAACAAACCATGTTGTGTCCTTGATGAGTTTTGAACTTCATGCTCAGAACCCTGAGGGGTCCCTTCATCTGTTGCCTCCTCGTCTTGTCCCCATCCTTTTTTAGAATTGCCTTTCCACGAGAAGCACATAATGGTTACAAAGCATATAACATGCTTGTAGCAAACATTCTTAACTATTTCTTGTCCATTGTAATTTTTGTAAGTTCTCATCCTATAATTTTGAGTTCTGTGATTTCCTGTTGTAGAATGAAACTTGATAAGCCATATCCAAGTGTATCCATATTCCTGTCTGTCAGAGACACGAGGTAAGAACAGAACAAATACAGGATATTCTCAAATTACATGTTTTGTATACTTTTGTCCACCTTAAAAATTAGAACCAATGAATTTTTTTTTTCAGTGGATGGAGCAGTTCAAAAATCAGATGTTATCTGAGACAGATGCACGCTACCAGGTTGTGGAGAGAGTTGTTGGGCATTTGTCTGAAAGCAACAAGGACATCCCCCAGGTCTCAGCTCTCAAGTGGGTTATCCATGTGGTGGATGAACCAGGTGTAAATGCTTTTGTGCTTCCAGTAAGTTGTACACCACACAAAAAATAATAATGTTGAAACAGCACTTGATATGTCTCCCACTTCATTTTTATTCTCTTTCTTTACAGAATGGTCAAGTGTTTGTTTTTACTGGGTTACTGGAGGCAGTTTCTGATATTCATCAGCTGTCATTTATTTTAGGACATGAAATAGCTCACGCTGTGCTGGAACATGCAGTAAGTCTTTAAAGAAAGATGTCTAATATTGTTAAATTATTCATTCTAATTACTCTAGTTATGCTTTTCCCTATCATTACCAACCAACTTTTCAGTGTGACTCTATCTAATTAATGCAAAATTGAGTTTGAAATGAGTAGCCTGCTACAGTAGATCTTTATTATTTGTGTAGCACTTAATAACTGTCAGAAGACCTGTGGTGGTCCCTGTTAACACAGAGGCTGCCAGGCTTTTATTCACAGCTGTACAGGTAAATTATGACTCAATTTCCAGAGTCTAGAGCTTGGTCTGCAGATCACTCTCTTACAGCACAGGCATAAAGAACTGGAGGTGCTCAGCAACTCTGTTACTCCTATAATTGTTAGCACCTTTAAAAAGTATCTTAAAATACTTGATACTGTTATTATTGGAGCACTCAGTTTTACAATGTCGAATTCTGGAGTACCCAAAGCTTGGTTCTTGTATGATTTTGGGTGAGCAACAGTTCACATCCATGGTTTCTTGGGCTTGGTTCAGCCAACCAACCCTTTAAACTTCTAAAAAATATTTCTGATAATGAAAAAGAACTTCTCTTATTTGTATGGCATCTGGTGTCACCCAGCTGGCACAGAGAGAAGTGTTGCATGATCCTGCTCTGATCAATTTGTTGCAATGTCAGATAGAGCTCTGGAAAACAATCATCTCATGGATTCTGAATTTAAAGGAAAGCAGCAGAAAATAAAAGAGAAATACATTATGTGTACTGTTCCCTTATCCCATGGATGATCCTGTCTCAGTGATGTGTTATCTCTTCTCAAATTAATGTAAAGAACAGTCTTTGGGGTATTTTTGTAGATTTTTTATTCACATTGAGGTGTTTCATAGCCTTGTTACTGAAGAACTTTTTCTGCTTGTGGCCTCCACCCTACCTCAAGCTTTGAGTCTCTAGGAGAGTCTGATAGGCAGAATGTGTTTGTTCCAGCTGTGTGCAGCTTTTGTGAATTCTGGCCTGAGAGTACCTTGTATCCAACTGGATTTTTTTTTGTTTGTTTGTTTGTTTTGGTACAAGCAGGGAATGTTGTGCTTGCCCTCTTCCTGTGGCTCCACAGGAAAAAAAAAAAATCAGTGACTTTTAAAGTGTTTCCAAATTCTCTTAATGTTCTAAAGAAATGTCAGACAGTAAGGAATGAAAATGGGACAATTTCTGTTTGCAGGCAGAGAAAGCCAGCCTGGTTCACTTCTTGGATTTCCTCTCACTCATCTTTCTCACTATGATTTGGGCCATCTGTCCTCGGGATAGTTTGGCAGTTGTTGGCCAGTGGATTCAGAGCAAGTTGCAGGAGGTAAGGTTGGCATTTTCTATTGTTCTTCCTGATTTCCTTAGATTTCCTTGTTTTTTACATCTGATTCTGCTTTAGTTGATGCTGATTTTCATTTGTCACCTTGAAGAACTTTAGGTTTCCCTAAATGACTGGATTTCGTTGCACAGGCTGTAGGAACATGCTGCCAATTCAGACAAATTATTGTCTTTTAGAAAGTAACTTGTCCTTTAAAGTTGTATAAGGTAAAATGCAATATTTTTTTTTAAGTAGTTATTAAATTCTTCCTAAACAAAATAAAATATATGGAATTCATTAAACATATTGTTAGTGATAAGAATGACTTCCAAGATCAAAAAATTGAGAATTTAAACACCCATGCTATAGTACAAGTTACTAAAATAATCTTTTCAGCCAGCAGATATTGCAGCAAAGTAAAATTCAGAGGATTTCTGGTGCCAGTTTTCTTCAGCAGTGTAATTTACTCTCTGGGCAGTTACTGATCCATTTATTTTTAAATAGAAATTTGCTTAGATCATAAAACTGGAATCTGAATTAAAGTGAAAGATCTCTTAGGTTTCTTTTACTTGGTGTTTTTCCTGAGATTTCCCCCAGCTCCTCAAAAACAAGAAATTAAACATAACCAATCTGTTTTGGTAGTTCTTATGCTAATGGGGAGATGTGTGGATTCTGAACATAAATTATCTCCTAAGAGCTTGGATATTTGCACATGTAGCTAAGAAACCAATACATTGATGAATGCTAGCCAGCATTCTGAAGAGCTGAATTTGGCAAAAACAAAGTGTGAATGAATCCTGAGACTGCTCAGAATTTAGACAGCAAGATTCAACTCCCTGTCAGCATCTCCCCCTCCCCACAGAGAATGGAGTTTTGGCATCGTGGGCTGGAGCTGGGCTTTAGGTTGGAAAGGGAATCTGGGTTTAAGTTCTGAGTCCTGTGCAAAGGAAACATCATCTGTGGGATTCTGTCCTGGTTTAAAGGCTGATCAGACTTCAGTAATGCTGAAGGGATAAATACTTGCAAAGCTTTCATCCATAGACAAAAGAAGCTGAATAGGAAACTGAGTTTTTTATTCACCCAGGAGTGCAGTGTCTGTTTGTCTCATTCAGTATTTGCCTGTTGTGCTTACATGAAAGTGAATTATTCTGCATATCTTCTCAGGATGTTTCTCTTCCTCTTCTTCCATTACTGTATTTTGCTTCTTAAAGCTTTAGCATCCCATTCTGTGAAAGGGTTATTTGAGCCATGCTGTGGTACTTGCTTCTGTTTCAATATTTGTTTTTCTCTTATGTCCTTACAGGCTTGACTTTTTGACCTGGTGACTGTTGTGTATTTTTTATTATTGACTCTTAGTGTTTCCCAGTGATTCTTTGTAGGCCTTTGGGCATGAGAGCTCCAGGTCTGCCTTTCCCCCAAAGATAATGGATTTTCTTCCCTTAATAAATTGTTAACTTTTCTTATTACATTTATTTGGAGTTGTTCCTTAAGCATGTATTTCTGGACTGAAGCATATTGGTTTTGTTATAGAGCAGCAGATATTTTATATGGGAACTGAAGCTTAGGAATTATTCTTGGAATAACCCCAAGCAGGGCTCTGAGTTTTACTCATGCCCCACACACCAGTATTACAGATGCAGTACTTCATCCTCCTTTCTTGTCCACCTCACACCATGAGATTTTTATTTCATGTAAAAACTGGTGATTTTGGGCAGTCAGCATCCCTGGAACTCCCTTTTATTCAACATACACAGGCAGCTCTGATAATTAAATTGAAAAATCTGATTTATCTTTTTTTGTTTCCGGTTTCTGACAAGGATTTTAGATCAGAGTTTGAAGTTCCAATTTTTCACTCTATTCACAAAAGATTGTTTAAACAGTTCCATTTTTCAGTAGCTGATGACTACCACTGTATGTTAGATACCTCAGGACTCTTTTATAGATTACAAATTTCATTTCTCTGTCTAAAAAGTGATTAATAATGAATCAAATGGTTTATCTGGCTAACTAGGAACTGATGCTTCAGGAATATATGACAGACTAGCCAGGGGCTTCTTTGCTGTTTAGCGAATATATGTGCACCAACAGACCTGGAACACTTTTCAAGGCAATAAAAACATGAATTCCACTTCAAGGAATTACTTTTATAATCAGAGGATTTAAAAATAATTACAATCTTTAAGGTCTGAATGGAAACTAGGAGTTTAAAAAGTGACTTCATCTCTGCTTACTTCTAAACCAGCATGTTTGGCTTTTAAAACCAGATTTGGTTGGCTTTTATTTTTGACTTAGGAAAGAAAAACTCTCAGTACTTCTTTGGAAAGCAGCAAAAAGTTACAGTTACTGGACCACTTTTCTGGTGCTCTTCATTTCAAATTGGTTTGTGGTTTCTAGTTTTGGTTTTGGGGTTTTTTTCCTTGAATTTCTAAGGAGGACAGATTTCTGTAGCCAGGTAAAGAGCTGATAGAACCTTTTTGAGCTGACAGACCTTTCTCTCTTCTCTAGCCTTGCACAGTTCACATTTGCTAATGGATGACTAAACCAGGATGTTGGGACAGGTTCCTTATCTCTGCAGGAGCAGGCTGTTCAAACAAGTCCTGGTTTGCATTTACTATAACGTGACAGACTGGGCCAAGGCTGCCCAAATCTGCATGAATTACATTGGAGAAAGCCACCACTGCCTCTTAGGCTGTGTTAATGCTCTAGAAAAATGGAACAGGAGTTTGGTCAGCTTTATGTCTTCCAGTTTGATTTCTCAAGAATAATTTGCAGCTTGTTAGGGATAGTCATGGCAAAGGAGTGATTTCTGCATGCAAATATTTATGGTTGCATTCCAGTTTGCCATCAGAAATAGATGATACCATGCTTAAAGTTTAGGAAACCACTGGAATTTTTACATAGAGTTGCTGCAAGAAAAATCTTGATGTCAATAAAAGAGTGAAGTGAAAAAGTTCTGGTGAAAAGTTGGTGTTTAGCTTTCACTTGCTGCACAGTGAGAATAGCTACTGATAGTACCCATGAAAATACAACTAATTTGAATTAATTTCAACTGAATACAGGATCAATGAGTTACACATAATAGAATTAGAGATTACATTAAGAAAATTAGTACTGATCACATGCAATGTGAACATTAGATAGATAGCTAGACCCCACTTCTTATGAGAAGGTTAAAACACAGCTATGAGGTTCCATCTTTGTACACATTCCAGACCCAGGAACAGAACTTTGATGTGTTTCTTTGCAGTTCATTTTTGATAGACCCTACAGCAGAACCCTGGAGGCTGAAGCTGATAAAGTGGGACTTCAGTTTGCTGCAAAGGTAACTACAACTGATTGGTTTTATTAGCAGTAAAAATAAAATGAGCAAAAAAATAAATACCAGATATTTTTCAGTTTCTGTTACAATCAGAGGGAGTTTCATTCTTCATATGGAGGTAAATTGTAAGTTTTTGAAGATCTGTAGTTTAATGAAGTGGTGGGAAAGAAAAGAGTTTTTAGGGAAGGACAAAGTCAATGTGGTTAATTGGATAATAATAATAACACTGTAATAACACTGAAGAGTGTAAAGTTGTGCATTACCTGCACAGTCTCCTTTCCTTGGAGTTTGTTGCTATTAAAAGAAACCCTCATGTGTTTGTAAAGAGACCTCTACATAGGGATCTTGCATAAGTAGGATTTAATTATATGTAAAGATTTAAAGATTTAAGTGAAATACAGCCATAACAACAATACAGCTTTGCTGAAGCAATTCAATAATTTGGTCAGAAGCTACTCAGCATTTTTTCATAGTTTATTTTTTCAATTACTTTTTTCCCCCTGGGGAATTTAATTCTATATTAAAGGAACTGATTTCTTTGATTTCTGGCTAAGCACAATGGACTTCTGTGTGAGATACCAGTGAGAGCAGCACCATCTAGTGTTAATATTTCATTAGCAAAATTTCCTTTTAATAGTTATTAATATTACTTTAAGGAAGAGTTCTAAAAATTAACTTTGATTCTGCGATTAAAACTGCATTTATAATTTGAAGTTGTCTAAGGGAATAATACAATCAATTAAAAAAATGTAATTACTGTGTTTGTGCTCACTGCTTTTAATACTGCAAAAGTAGGGCCATACCAGAAAGAAATCAGTCAAGTGACATATGAACATTTCTCTGGTTGTGCAGATAATCTTTTTATAATAGTAATTTAAATGAATAAATTCAAAGGATAAAGCACCATATCTGTTCCTGGGAGAAGGAATGGGAAGAAATAATTTTCTTATCTTCTGCCCACTAGTACCTTTGTTTTTTCTTAGCTAATAAAGGTCAGTGTAAGAAATCTTGTTTATTTTTCTTTTATACTTAAACCTAAAAATAGAGAAGTCTGTGGTGATACACAAAAGCAATTCTAAAAGTTACTGTTCCCTGACTTTCTGTGGTTAAATATATACTTCTTGAAGAGAGTCAGGAATCCTACAGAATTCCTGTTTTATTGTCATGAATTCCACAAATCACCCTTGGAAGGCCATTTAATCAATTACAGAAAAGCATTTCCAGTTACTTTTTAGGTGTATTTAAGTATGATTTATTATCACCTTATATTTTGACTCTCAACTTCTTCCTGTAACTTTGCCTAGATCTGTGGAGATGATTAATTTGTTCTAGTAAATACAGCTTTGAATTTGCACTGAGCTTTTTCTTAAAGAGCAAGTATAGGGCAGAAATGGTAAACCTTTCCTTCCTGTTGAATTTTCATAACTCAGATGTAAGTTTTTTAAATCACAAGTGTTTAAAAGGAATAGATGCAGTGTCTGCATGAGTTTTTTATTGCTTTTAGATATTTTGGAACAGCTTTTTACTCTCAGGTATAAGGACCATGTAAATGGTCTTAAGAAACTTAAAATTTAAGATGTCTTTTGTAATTCCATATCAATTATACTGTGTATTTATCACTTTAAACATCCATTGGTGTTGGAGAATTTTGCTCAGACATGGCTTGAAGGAAAAAAGGCCATGAAAATATTCAGCTGATGGAAAAGTAAAAGGCAGCTGTAAGCAGCAGTTCCCAAGCCTGTTTTCACAGGCACGTTTCAGAGTTCTCAGGCAGTTTTCTCATAACAGGTAAACATTCTATCTTTGGCTTTTTGGGAAAGTAAAAGTAAGTTTTGAGAACCTTTCACATCAGGGTGAGAACACAAATCTTGGTCTCAATAACAAACC